AAATCCAAGTAAAAAAGTTAAAAGACAGAGGAACTAAAGAAGGAAAGAAAGCAAAAAACAGACGGATGATTGAATACATACATTCTAAGTTTTTGAAAAACTGAAGAAGAAATAAGAAACACAAAGGCTAAAATAATAAAAATTAGGAACAGAAAAGGTATTATTAGGAACAGAGAAGGTTTATTTATAGTATTGTCTCTGGAGACAAATACATGTGTTTGTTTATTTATTTATTTATTCATTATTAACTTAACTTAAGCTCTTGACCAACTCTGTGTGGTTTACAATCCAACTGTACCTACACAGGATTAAAATAATAAAAATGCACTATAAATAAATAAGTAACCTTAACATTAATAATTTAATAATGAAATATTATGTGCAAAGGAACCATGAACATGTATGTAATTAGTATGCTTATACAGAAGGAATTTGTCTCTACTTATCATTTGATCAAAAAGAAATTTTAGAAATTTTTCAAATCTCAGAAAAGTTGTGCCAAGTTAAATTTCTAGGTAGTTGAGTTATCCAGAAAAAAGAGGATAGCAGTCATGAACATATTAAGAAGAGGGAAAAAAACCTCCACAAACCTCACCCTTCATGAACTAATTGGGTGGGCAGAAACTATTGGAAGCAAATAGTTCTGTAGAATCTACAATGTAGCTATCCAAAGAGCTTTAAAGCGCATTAAAAATGAGAGTGACACATTGAATTAGAATTAGATGAAGCACCCAAAAGCTAAGAGAGCAGCTCTTGAAGTAATTGTGTTACATGGGTAAACTAGGACAATATCCATAACTACATAAGTTGCTGCATTCTGGACCAGCTGTAACTTCCCAGTGATATTCAAGCTCATTGCAAGTCCAAATAGGAGGCGACCAAGTATGTGATTGGCAAAACAAATAACACTGTCATTTGTAGTGTTATTCTACTGCTGCCTATCCAGTTTCATCTCATTTCATATACTGTACATAATCATGTACAATATTATTTAATTATACTGATTTTTATTTCTGATTTTCATGATTTATTCTGTTAAAATTGTGAAAATCTATATTGTGAAGCAGGTAAAGTGTTTAAATATTCTGCTTCAGTAAGTGGAAGGTCCAAACTGGCCACTATTCACATGACTACACCATTTGTGTGAACATTAATATGATAGCTAAAGTCAGGACATTATAGTATCCAACCTCCATATCCTTGGATAGCAAAGAAGATGACAGGGAAAGATAGGTTAAGCTTATTATCAAATCACTTTTGACTTTTCTTGATTGGAATCAGAACACAGTTTTGTACAGCTCTGTCCGGTTAAAATGTCCATGAATTGAAATGCTTTAAATGTACTACTCTGTATTGGATAGATGATCTATTATTTAATTTTATAAATGTGATTTTTATATTTATAACTATGTTCTCAATTTTGCATGGCTATGTTCTTAATATTAATTGATTTTGACAATTTGTTCGTAAAGTGTTTCTTTCAATAAAAATGTTACTTTTCAACAAAGGATTGCTTATTTTGAGATTGAAAACATGAATAGTTGTCAGTAGAGAAGCAAATTTACCACTTTTCATTATAATTTCTAGACGAATTTCTCTGGCTACGCCTCGTCAACTTTATAAATCTTCCAACATGACTCAGCGGTGGCAGAGAAGGGAGATTTCAAATTTTGAATACCTGATGTTTCTCAATACTATAGCTGGTGAGTCTTCTGTTTCTTTATTCTTTATAACATGATTCAATTTGTCAAAGTTTTTAGTACTATGAATGGATGGATATTCCTCTGTGATGTAAATGCAGCTTTATGATTAGTTCTGAAAAATTATATCATACTTTATATTGCGGGGGGGGGGGAATTAGTCACTCTTCACGTTTGTTTTTTGTGGTGGTATTTTTCTTTCTTTCTACTATTTACTATACTGACAGCATGGTCTGAAGCTTTGTTAGAATCAGCAAACCACTGTTAATGTAAGACTAAAGGTGTTAAGTATTGGTTAATTATTCTTGCTGTCAGTAACACCTTCTAGCTCTCTGATTGGCTGAGAGCTCCAGAGGGTGTTGCCGACGTAATGTTATTGTTGATTGGCCGAGGGACTGACGTCAGCTGTTGCTGTCTCGTCCCTGGCCGGTGATTGGTTTAAAAAAATAGTATAAATACCTTGGCGCGAGTTTTCGTTCTTTGAATCGCCTGCACTGAATAAAGAGTTCTGTTGAGTTGAAACCCTGGCTTCGCGTCGTCCCTCCGTCAATACTTAAAAATAAGATACCACATTTAGTGATAGTCATAGGATACGAAGTAAGCAATCAACATAAATTTATGT